ACAGCAAACAAGCAATACAACACAGGGGAGGGAAAGAAAGACGACCTCAAGAAAACTGCTGTGAACCAGGCCTGGAGACCAAACAGACCAGTTTCAAAAAGAGAGTGAAAGGTATCTAGAGGGATTAAGAGGGAAAAAGCAAGTAATAGATTATCTGACATGTTACCTTTGATCACGTAGAAAGTTCTAGAAAGACATTTGTAACAGAATTGTGTGCCGAGTTAATCAGAAATTTAAAGGGATCTAAGCAATAATAAACTAAAATAATAAAGCCATTATTAACTCCAAGGAAAACTAAGTTATAAGAGAAAGGAAATGAACCAATAGGTCGTTACTTGAACAGAATTTAAAAAGCCATAATCATAACAAAAATGTTGCGTACAGACTTTGCCAGAAACTCTGATACCCAAAATAGATACTGCATACTTTTAAGGAGAACCTTTTTCACAGACGCTTCCGTAGGAGAATAGAAGGCTTTGCAACAGCACAATGGTAAAGAATCCTCCTGCCAATGCAGGAGATGCAAGAAATGTGGGTTTGATCTCTGGGTCAGGACGATGCCCTGGAGTAGGAAATGGTAACAGACTTCAGTATGCTTGCCTGGAAAATTCCATGGACAGAGAAGCCTGGAGGGCTACAATCCATGGGGTTACAAAAAGTCTGACAGGACTGAGCGCGCGCGTGCACACACACGCACACACACACACACATACACACGCACACCAGAGAATGGAATGGAGAGAAAGGAGTAAGGAATGTAAAAGATGTTGTCTTCATTTCCTTAAAGGCTAGTCAATAGATGTTTAAAATTTATGATTCAGGACAGTAGTATACACATGTTATTTGGAGAAACAAATTAAAAAGTTACTTTGTAGGAAGAGTAGACAGAAACAGTAGTCTGCAATTTTTTTTAGAACTTTTTATGCTTTTTAACCTTTTAAATTATGTGAGTATATTTATAGATAAAAATAAAATGAATTTTAAAATGAAAATTTATGGTAAGTCATATGCTAAAATATGAATAGGATTACCTATGAGTGGCAACATTATAAGGAAAATTGAGGCTGCCTGCCATCAGCTGACCCCATCCTCACTCCCTGCTTTCTTTTTCCCTATAACACTTATCCACAATTGATATTGTAAATATTCTACTCATTTATGTGTCACTTGTTTTCTCAGCTTAATGGAATGCAGCACCCATGAGGGAAGAGATATTATCTATTTTCATCACCTCTGTATCCCCAGAGTCAAAAACAGTGCATGCAATAAACAGAAACAAAAAATGAGAATTTAAAAAATTTTGCTATAATATCCATTTTAAAACATTATTTCTTACTTGAAAAACAGAAAGAAAATAAAAGCAATTTCTATTTTAAGGAAAAATTTAAAATGCTATTTGGGAAGAAAACAGGGGAATGAAGTGGATGTTCAAGCAGGTAGAGGTGGTTTGGTCTTGCTTCTTTGAGAAATGTCACCCAGGTGGTGATAGTGGTAAAGAATTCACCTGCCAATGCAGGAGATGAAAGAGACGCAGGTTCGATCCCTGAGTCAGGAAGATCCCCAGGAGTCAGGAATGGCAACCCACTCCAGAATTCTTGCTTGGAAAATGCCATGGACAGAGGAGCCTAGAGGGCTACAGCCCAGGAGGCCACAAAGAGTCGAATACAACTGAGCCCACACACAAAGTAGCAAAAGCAAAGAACCTGGAGCATGAAAACTGCACTCAGGTCGTGAAAGCAAAGGAGCAGAGCTACCCAAAGGAGCACCAAGGGAACCAGATCAGAGCATCTTTTTATATTGTGACTGCCCGGTTAAGTATCAGGTGGGTGAAGTTGATAAAATGGTGGAGAAGGAAGATCATGCCTGGCTTTTTCTTCCTTAACATAGTTTAGTAGACTAATGCTATTTAAAATGTTTTTTAATCTAATCTCTAGTTCATTCAACTGAGGCACAAGTTAACATCACTTAAAATAAATTGATAGACTAGCAGTTTCTTTCATATATTATCATCAGTTAAAATAATATTTAAAGTTTGTTTAAAACATCTCGTCACCATTCATGGGTTACCCCTTCAACCTCAACTGTTTTCTATTTCTGCTTAACTGTTTTCCTGGATTAACTCCACATATAATTTAGCAATTGTCCCTAACTCACCCTAAAACATTTTTTTTCAGTTGGTAGAATCTTTTTAAACATCCATTGCTCTCCAAACACCAGACTGTTTTGGTTTCAGGAACCACGTGATTTGGCATTACAGTTTGTTAATTATCCTGCTGTGCTCCAGTTCTCCCGCTCCAACTAAACTGGAGAACTTAAAATAGTGTAACACTTCGATCTGTGCCTCCCATGGCCAGCCTTATTTAGCTACTCAGGAACTTCTGCTTATTTAACTTGTAGTCTGACTGAGTTAAATTCTTCCTACTGTCTTTCATACTATTTCTTTTCCAGGTAATGGAAGAAAAATTGGTAGAAGTAGCATGTTGTATATCTTTTACCCAGCTATAAAGAAAGCATTTGCTCTTGTCCATTAGTCATCAGTCTATTTATCCTTATGTAAATATTGCTTTCACTAAGGCTAACATTCTCTGTTACAAATACTAGACATAGTTAATTTTAGCATGCTTTGTATTTTTACTGGATTTTTACAAAACCTAGTTTCATAAAGGAGCTTTATATCTTGTAGTTCTAGAGTTTTAAAGTGTATATTTAAATAATTGGAAAGTTTGAAAGATTAAAAACCAGTTTGAAGTTTATCTCATCACTTTCTCTGTGCTAATATCTTAATACTATTGCCTTTCAAGACATATGATTGCTGTGAATCATTTTTAGAAGGACAATAGAGAACTATATTGCAGTGGTAAAAATGGGAGATTGACTCCAAGAAAGCAAATGTTATGTCTGAGCACTAAGCTATAATATTGTTAAAGACATCATTGCAAGAAGCAATTATCAATTACTGTTTCTGGCTTAATTGCAGTACTACTTTTACTCATTATAACAAGGACAATATACCTATAATAAAGATGAGGTCACTGTAAAATGTTTTTATGGTATCTCTAATGTTGTGCATATACTTAACAAAAATATATAAAAAATAAATATTTTTACTTTGGCTGGCCAAACATGTTTTGATTAGTGTCCCTTTTCCATTGTCACTGATGCATTATGAATATTTTGTTTATGCACACATGATCTAAAAAGCCAATGTGAGTAATGGTTCATCCAGATGCACATTAAATATCTCATGAACTCTGTCTGTGTGCAGGTCAGGAAGCAACAGTTAGGACTGGATATGGAACAACAGACTGGTTCCAAATAGGAAAACGAGTACGTGAAGGCTGTATATTGTCACCCTGCTTATTTAACTTATATGCAGAGCACATCATGAGAAATGCTGGGCAGGAGGAAGCACAAGCTGGAATCAAGATTGCTGGGAGAAATATCAATAACCTCAGATATGCAGATGACACCACCCTCATGGCAGAAAGTGAAGAAGAACTAATGAGACTCTTGATGAAAGTGAAAGAGGAGAGTGAAAAAGTTGCCTTAAAGCTCCACATTCAGAAAACTAAGATCATGGCATCAGGTGCCATCACTTCATAGCAAATAGATGGGGAAACAGTGGAAACAGTGGCTGACTTTATTTTTCTGGGCTCCAAAATCACTGCAGATGGTGATTGCAGCCATGAAATTAAAAGACTCTTACTCCTTGAAAGGAAAGTTATGACCAACCTAGAGAGCATATTAAAAAGCAGAGACATTACTTTGCCAACAAAGGTCCGTCTAGTCAACACCGTGGCTTTTCCAGTAGTCAGGTATGGATGTGAGTGTTGGACTACAAAGAAAGCTGAGCACCAAAGAATTGATGCTTTTAAATTGTGGTGTTGGAGAAGACTCTTGAGAGTCCCTTGGACTGCAAGGAAGTCCAATCAGTCCATCCTAAAGGAGTTCAGTCCTGGGTATTCACTGGAAGGACTGATGTTGAAGCTGAAACTCCAATACTTTAGCCACCTGATGCTAAGAGCTGAGTCATTTGAAAAGACCCTGATGCTGGGAAAGATTGAGGGCAGGAGGAGAAGGGGATGACAGAAGATGAGATAGTTGGATGACGTCACTGACTCAATGGACATGGGTTTGGGTGGACTCTGGGAGTTGGTGATGGACAGGGAGGCCTGGCGTGCTGCAGTCCATGGGGTCGCAAAGAGTCAGACACAATTGAGTGACTGAACTGAACTGAACTGATCTCTCTCGTGGGGGTACACACACAATTGGCTTGTGCAATACAAAAATCTTGAAGATATACCCTGATTTCCCATAAGCTCAACTTTCCTATAAACTTTGATAAAATAGTGAGTCCAAAAGATGAGCATAGGATAGAAAAGAAGGAGAGAAAGCAAAATGAGGTGGAGGGAGCCAAAACAGGGGAGTGGTGATGATGCAGAAAGAGGTAGAAGATCCTGAATTGCATGACATCAGCGTCAGCACTTGCTGGCTTATTTAGGGTCAGCTAGAAAATGGCAACCCACTCCAGTATTGTTGCCTCCACAATTCCATGGACAGCTGAGCCTGGTGGGTTACCGTCCATGTGCTTTCAAAAGTCGGACATAACTGAGCACAGCACAGTTACAGTTATAATTATATTAATCAACCAAGTAAAGTCAACACATGGAGTTCCAGAACAAAGCTTAGAGGTCCTAGGATAAGAATAACTTGTGGAGGTAGGAGTAGATATTAGAAAGTGGAGGCAGAGAAAAGAAAATGCATTCCTGAGATACTGAAACTGCAGATCTAGAAAGGCTTTTGCACATGACAAACACGTGACACATGCTTATAATCATCACGACCATGAAGCATTTTGGAGGAAAATACATTCATGATGTTACAGATTTCTATAGTTAAAGCTTCAATGTAAACAGAAGATATATGGAGTAACTTTTAGGGGGTAGCATATTTCTTTTGCTTAATATGTATTCTAAAGTCAAGTTCCAGAATTTTCTTACCTCTACAAAGATGAAACAGGGAAATATGGTGTAGCTCCTAAACTCTTGGCTTTGATGATTTGGAAACATGTTTTCCTGTTCAGATAGGGAAAAAGAAGACATGATTTTAAAATCAGTTTATTCATAACTGTATGCTCTGTGGCCTTCTCTGGAGGCTGAGATGGCAAAAAATCTGCCTGCAATGTGGGAGACGTGAATTTTTATCTCTGGGTTGGGAAGTTCCCCTGGAGAAGGAAATGGCAACCACTCCAGTATTCTTGCCTGAAGAATTCCATGGACAGAGGAGCCTGGCAGGCTATAGTTCATGGGGTCACAAAGAGTTGGACAGAACTGAGTGACTAAGATATATATATATATATATATATATATATATACACTAATATATATATATAATCTCTGGAAGCTCCATAAATTCTCATTACAAAGCCAACCTTGTCTTTACCAGAAACTGACATTTTGCACCCTGAGTTATTATTTGGAATGTCAGAAACATCATATTTTCTCACTTGTATTGCACTTAGCATCCGCAGGGATCCTTCTTTTTAAAAGTTACCTTTGGCTTGAGATAGCATCATCGCCACTTTCACCCTGTTGCAGGCATAACCAGGTATTCAACGTTTGATTATATTTGTCTCAGAGGCAGACAGTATGGCTACGGAAATAGTGCACTAAAGTTCACTGGACACCATGGCCACGCCTCCTCTTGTCACCTCTGTGCCTGAAAAATAACCCCTCCCTGCCACCCAATCCTACCATAATATTAAACATTTCTTTAGATGTGGGGCTTTCCAGGTGGCACTAATAGTTAAGACCCTGCCTGCCAACTCAGGAGATGTACTCTTGTCAATAAACTCTTGTCAATAACCTGATAGGGTACCCCTGACCCAAAGAATATGATGAAGGAGAAAGAGGTCCTGAATGTTGATCTGTGGCAGGAGCTCAAATTACAAGGACATTTCTTACTGTCCTCCCCACTTTGTTTGGAAAATTTACAGAATAAAATATTCTCAATGCAAAAACCACTTGGTAAGGTAAATGAGTCAAAACTGTGAAAATATGGATGCAGAATTACTAGCTAATATATTTTGTTTATGATTTTTATGCAAAGAAATAAGTAAATTGTTTTAGTTACTTCAGATAGTCAAGGAGGGAAAATCTCACAGTCAAAACCTTAGAGTCTAAATTAAATTTTTATTTATAATTACAAGCGGACAGTAACATGATAAAATATATGTGTGTGTAATCAACTCATTAAAGAGAAGAAATATCTACATTTTCGTGTTCATCAGTAGATGAAGCTGAAGTGGTGAAAAAGTGTGATTTTTATCCGCTGGGTTGTGGTATCATGACCAGGCTCCAAATGTGATGTGTTCCATATTCTAAGTTCAGTTGGTTTTAGCAGTTGGTGTCTGCCTTCTTACTGAAGAAGCCAAACCAGCTCAATCGCTTCCACTCTCTTCCCATAATTCAGTAATTTTCAGTGGCATGCCTCACTTCAGGAGATATTTGGAAATTGTACGTGGGAATTTGTTGTTGTTTAGTCGCTGAGTTGTGATCCCTTGGACTGCTGCACACCAGGCTTTTTTGTCCTTCACCACCTCCTGAAGCTTGTTCAAACTCAGGTCCATTGAATCAGTTATGCCATGCAATCATCTCATCCTCTGTCATTCTCTTCTCCTACTGCCTTCAGTCTTACCCAGCATCCAGGTCTTTTCTAATGGTTCAGCTCTTCTCATCAGGTGACCAAAGTATTGGAGCTTCAGTTTTAGCATCAGTCCTTCCAGTGAATATTCAGGGTTGATTTACTTTAGGACTGACTGGTTTGATCTCCTTGCAGGCCAAGGAACTCTCAAGAGTCTTCTCCAACACCACAGTTCAAAAGCATCAATTCTTCAGCACTCAGCTTTCTTTATGGTCCAACACTCACATCCATACAAGACTACTGGAAAAACCATAGCTTTTACTATATAGACCTTGTCAGCAAAATAATGTCTCAGCTTTTTAACTTGCTGTCTAGGTTGGTCATAGCTTTTCTTCCAAGGAGCAAGCATCTTTTAATTTTATGGCTGTAGACACCATCTGCAGTGATTTTGGAGCCCAAGAAAATAAAGTCTCTCACTGTTTCCATTGTTTCCCCATCCATTTCCCATGAAGTGATGGGACCAGATGCCATGATCTTAGTTTTCTGAATGTTGCATTTTAAGCCAACTTTTTCACTCTCCTCTTTCACCTTCATCAAGAGGATCTTTAATTCCTCTTCACTTTCTGCCATAAGGGTGGTGTCATCTGCATATCTGAGGTTATTGATATTTCTCCCAGCAAACTTGATTCAAGCTTGCACATCATCCAGACTGGCATTTCGCATGAGGTACTCCGCATATAAGTTAAATAAGCAAGGTGACAATATGCAGCCTGGATGTACTTCTTTCCCAATTTGAAACCAGTCCATTGTTCCATATCTGCTTCTAACTGTCTTGACCCGCATGCAGGTTTCACAGTGGGCAGGTAAGGTGGTCTGTTATTCCTATCTCTTGAAGAATTTTCCACAGATGTTGTGATCCATACAGGCAAAGGTTCTGACATAGTCAGTAAAACAGAAGTGGATGTTTTTCTGGAATTTTCTTGTTTTTATGTGACCCAACAGATGTTGGCAATTTGATCCCTGCTTCCTCTGCCTTTTCTAAATCCAGCATGAACATCTGGAATTTCTCAGTTCACATACTGTTGAAGTCTGGCTTGGATAATTTTTGAGCATTACTTTGCTAGCATGTGAAATGAGTTCAACTGTGTGGTAGTTTGAACATTCTTTGGCATTGCCCTGCTTTCAAATTGGAATGAAAACTGATCTTTTCCAGTCCTGTGACCACTGATGAGTTTTCCATAATTGCTGGCATAATGAGTACAGCACTTTCACAGCATCATCTTTTAGGATTTGAAATAGCTCAGCTGGAATTCCATCACCTCCACTAGCTTTGTTTGTAGTGATGCTTCCTACGGACTGTTTGACTTCCCACTCCAAGATGTCTGGTTCTAGGTGAGTGGTCACACCATCATGTTGTCTGGGTCATGAAGATCTTTTTTGTATAGTTCTTCTGTGTATTCTTGCCACCTCATCTTAATATCTTCTACTTCTCTTAGGTCTTAATATGGGAATTAAGTCATTATAATGAGTTGGACTTTCTTTTGATATTTAAAGACAAGGACCAGGAATGCTACATGTTCTGCAGTACCCAGGACAGTTCTATGCATCATGAAAAATTGTTCTTGCATTCTTCCCCACTTTCTAATATCCCCCCGGCTTACACCCACTTTAAATATATTAGTAGTAGCTTACTTGTGATGATGAAAAGTAGAAGTTGTGTGACTATTTAAGTGAAGATTATTATGGATGGGAAAGCTTATATAGAATAAAGAAATTGTCTCGCAATGAAAAAAATTTTTTACAGGGTGCATCTTATTTACCAAAGAATCCTTCCTGCCACACACTTAGTTTAAAAGGTTTTCATTGTATGGTGGAGATTCATGATACACAGTGATCTTACTGACATATGTTCATAAAATTTATTTTAAAATATTTCATTTTACTTCCTTATGTGAAACATCTCTATAGATTGATAAAATATATAGTTAATTTTGAAGATAATGGTAAGAAATCTGTGTGATGACAATTATACATTCTAATTAATTATTTTTTTTACATGCATATGTTTTTCAATTTTACTCTACACCTTCAACACAGTCTTATAAAGAAGTGGTAAGACTGGGGACAAGGGGTCGCTGTAAAGTAGCCTGCATGCCCACTGTCTGACAGGGAAGGGACATTTCATTTTCCCATGGATGGAGCTGAAATGAGAGAAGCAAGCTGGACTTTGGGCTTCCTTGCTAGCAACACACTCAAAAAAAGTACCTTGTCAGGCTAAGAAATCCAAGCAAGAAGACAGTGCAGACAAGAATACCTTTGAGGGGCAGAGGGTTCCAAGCTTCTTTGCAAAGAATCTTCAAAGAAGCCCTGGGAGAAAAGTCTGTGAATTAATTCCACCACAAAAGACTAATCCAAATTGACAATTATTAGAAACAAATTACTTGAGATCCCCAAAATTCAAGATGAGAAAGAGAGAGAGAGAGAGACAGAGAAGCGGATGGCTGATGCCAGGGTCTTGCTTCAGTTGTGGGTCATGCGGCCCTTAGATGTCTGCACATGTCAAGCGTTAACAGTCAGGCAGGGTTACCCCAGGCAGCTGCTCCTGCACTATTCTCCTTCCCCTCTTCAAATATAACATAACGTAATCTTTTACAAAGCTTAGTATGTACAGTGACTGAATGATGAAAAAGGAAATGTGGTCTTTATTAAACTAGAAGGAAAATAATGATTACTACTACAGTGGTATATTGCCAGAATAATTTTCAACATTTTCCATCTTGGTATAAGTTACCAGAGTTGTCCTTTCAAAATAAAGATGTGATTCTTCACGTCTTGGTGACCCCTCTTGGAGACCAAGAACAAAGGTAAGGATGAATTTTGATAACTTTTAGATGCTAATTTGTCATACATATCATAAAATTAATATATTTTGGTTAATTTTACCTAATTCTGTGCAAGTTGTCAATTATTTGGAATTTAAATAAAATCAGGTGCTGAGTAAAGCTATAATATGGCAGCAACAGGTGAGCTAACCATGAATGAATGGCCTTATATCATGTACGCTATGCTTTAGAATCGAGATATTTTGATCTTTTAAATGAGCAAAGGCAATTTTTCTGCTTATATGTTCAGTATTGATAATCTATTTTTCAGAAATGTTTAATGCTTAGTTAGCTCATTTAATATATTCTATAATATTCATACAAAACTAAAGTCAAAAACTTTCCTGCTTGATCTTCAATTACTGTTTGGGACCCAGACTCTTTCTTGAGTGCTTTATGGCATGACATAGATATAGGGTAGGTTAGAACATGTTCTCAAATTATTTGATGCTCCTCCTTTCAAGAGGTGGAGCCTAATTTCCCTTCCTTGCACTGAGTGACTTGATTCTATTGAATGGAATAGACTAGCAGAAGTGATTGCCTGTGATTTCAGAGACTTGGTCATAGAAAGCACTGTG